GTCCGCTAAACCTCGAATGTGTTATTTTCACAATGAATAAATGTAGGTATTTTATAGAGTTGGCGTTTCATTGAGCATATTCACCTTCTGCCTTTAAATTTCAGTTATCATCGAAAAATACCAAGTAATAGCAATTTAACTTACCTCGATTGACCTTGTCTTCATAACAAGACCAAGAAGTGTACAAGTTGCACTCATATGATTGTTTTTCTGTTTGAGTAGAATAGACCCAGCAACAGCAACGCTCGGAAGACACTTCACTCTTTGTGTCGTGGTTGTAACACTAGACGCACGCAGGAAGGAGTAGAAGACAGGGGCACGTGTTTCCCATTCTTTGCAAAGGTCAGCAAAATTCAACTTGAGAAGATCTTCTTTTCGGGAATTTCTAAGAATTGAGGGKTTTTTTGTAGAACATAGTCCGCTCACTTCTTTCGSTACAACTTGAATTATTTCAGAAATCAATTGCGCTCGTATGAGTTTGCACTTCAAAGCTGCCTTCGCTATTCTACGACGTGTTCCACTCGCCAGAGCTTTGCCAAGCTGAACGTACTCCTCGTCTAAGTATTTATTGACCGTTTTACTTGGATACTCCACTGACACTCTGACTGGTTTACCAGGCGGGTGTTTGCTTTTCCTCACTGGAGTAGATGACCGCAATGGAGCGCCAAAGGTCGCCGGAGAAGAACCRAAATTGATTTCTAGTCCCAAAGGCAAGTCGTTTGGAATGGAAGCAGTTTGATTGCTACTTTGTGCTAAAGGCAAAGAAGTATAAGTGGTAGGAGCCGTTTCGAACTGAAGGCTTCTTGGTGTTAAGTTTGATGGCTTTACGTTAGCCTGCTTCTTGTTTGACTGGAGTTCCACACATTGCTCCGATTTGGATAGCCGTTTCACCTGATGTTTCTGAGAAGATTCCTGATAGTTTGCTTGGATTTCATCTTTTAAATCTGCTAAKTTTTGTCTGATTTTCTTAAATCGAAGGAGACGCTTATAACACTTCACACATATGAACACATCGGTCGAGTTGGAATAAATATTGATGCATTTCTCGAGAGCTAGTCCTATTATATGCGGGATATTCTCTTCACTTGATCCAAATACACGAACCCTTTYTTTCTTTACGGCAGTATTCGTACAGAGGAAGCAGTTTTCATTCAAAGTTTGAATTTTTTTGGGAGTTTCAGCCATACATGTAAACACCGTAGTCAGATCTAAACTCCCGCCAAACTCCCGCCGCGTTTGACCCGTTTTYCGCGCGAAGATGACGTGTGYAATCTGATTCAATGTTACAAAGCACRCCATTGGCTCAAATTAGAACAAAGAACAGAATCTCATYGGACATMAACAAACAAAGGGAACGGAATTCACCGCCTGGGTCAGCAGCCGTTTGTGGGGGAGGATTAAGGAGACGACACCGGA